GAGTACTTTTTGGAAATCTCTTCAATATGTGTATTTCCTTTTAAGAGCTATCTCAAAGTTTTTCCTCTTTCGAAAGCATTTTTGCTGGTTATGTTTGCTGATAATATTTTTGTTAAAATAATCTCTTTCTCTTCACATCTATCTGCTTTTAGTGCTCAAATACTATCTTCTAATGAGTTATTCCCTGGTCTAAGTTTTAACTCTTAGTCTAATCTATCAAACTTCTTTTCTAGTATCTGGCTTTCAGGTTTTATTTTTTGTAAATTTTCTGACAGATCGATATCTTCAAGATTTATTTTGCTTGTATTTACCTCTGGTTGCAAATCTTTTTTTTTTATTTTCATTTCTATTTCGACTGTTTTTTCACAGAGAGCTTTCTTGTAGCTACTATGTGTTTTGGATTCTGTTGCCATTTCTATTTCCTTTATTTCAACTATATCTTCAGATATTGGTGTGATGAGTTGCTCCTCTTCTTGATTTAGAATTTGTTCTACTCTATCAATTCCATCAGTTATAGCTACTCTTTCAATTATCTTTTGCTATTTTCTTGCTGTAGCCACAATATTTTTATCTATATGCATTATGTTTGCAACCATTTCATCTAGATGAGTTGCTAAGCCTTCTACAGAATTACTTCTATCAAATATCATCTCTTCACTATATAGTTTAGCTATTCTATTTATCAGATATGTAGATTTTTTGAAGTTCCACATTATATCTAATCTAGATTTATTACAATTTTGTAATCTTTCTAATCAGCTTAGTAAAAAATTTGAAAATACTATATGTTTATATTATGGCCTCTAGAAGTTGTCCGGTTTTGGTTTAGTATGTACTTTCACGTGATCTGAAGTATTTGTTTTGATTTTCTAATCTTCACGTGAATCACAGTACGTGACTTCGAATTCTTATGTTTATCTAAATAAACATATTGTGTAACAAATAATTTAGGATTTTCAGTTCTCCACAAAAGTTTTTTGTAGCTAAATTTTCTTCAGACATGAGTCTTTTCTTTGACTAAATAGTTTTTTAGTATACTAAAGCTTTTTCTGTTTCTTTAAGTCTTTGTATTTTTCTATTAGAATTCTTTTTTCTTAATAGCTTTGGATGCCTTTCTTAAGCGATTTTAGAGTTTTCTGTATTTTTTCTTTACCTCTGATTTTGGTTTAAATGATCTATGAGGAGAGTATGTCAAAATTTATTTTGTTTGTTTTATCTATATATCTATTCATCACGTAGCTTTTTGTATATTTGTTTTGTTTGCACTCCATTATGTGTTTCTTTTTTGTATAACCAAATAAATCTGTATAACAGTATCAAGTGCAATTTCTACAAAAGTTCATAAAAAAACAAAAAAAATTTGTACTTCCTTAGGTTTTCTTTCAATAGCTTCTTGGCTTTTGCTTTTGAGATCTTAGCCTCTTAAGAGACTATGTATTTCTTTTTGTTTTCTTTCTTTTTTCCTAAGATTGCAAGTATTGTTTTTTAAGTTATTTTCTTTATAAATAAAAGTTTTTTATTTATGTATATTTGTATACAAAGAATTAGCAGGAAGAGTTGTAAATTTATAATAAATATATAAATAATATTCTGTTAACAAAAGATATTTGTTTCTTAAGAAATTCTAAACTTTACAAAAGCCAAAAATACATAGTATGTTTTAGAGCAGATGAAACTATATATCATTTAGCTAAATATAAAATTTATCAAAAAATATAGAAAAATTTAGAAGAAGAAACTTTGTAGCTAACAAGTTTAGAAGTATTAAAAAAATTAGATTTGATATTTGAAAAGATCTTACTAAAAAAAGTATTCTATAGAAAAGATTAAGAAGAGAAACTTAATATTAGAAAAATATACCTTAAAAAGCTAACAAATAAAAAACAATAAGTAGAAATAAGCAGATTAGCTTAGTTAAAAAACAAAGCAAGTAGAATCTTAATAAGCTTTATTGATTATTTTTAGACATACTTCTATAAATACTTGTAGAAATTTTATTATGAAGTTATAGTAAAATAGAAGAAAAAAAATGATATCACAAATAAAGAAAAAAAAAAAAACAAAAAAAAAGAGAAGAGAAAGAAAATATAACTCCTAGTATAGAAGAAGAAACAAAAAAAAAAAAAAGAAATAAGAATACAGAAAAAAGCTTCAAACAGAATTAATAGATGAGTAAAATTAAATAAAAAGAAAGGATAGATTCAATTTAAAATAAAATAGATGATTTTGATATAAACTAGTAATAGCCTCTTGCTGACTAAAAATTAGAAGTTTATATATACAAACTAAAAATTTTCATAAGAGAAATAGTTATTGTAGTAGATTGTATTTAGATGCCAAAAGGTAGCTAAGTGAGTTCTGACTAGTATTAGAAAAGTAATTTGTTATATTTAATATAGCATTTTACTTGTAACTTAAATTAGCTTTTTTTTAATAAAATAACAAACAAGATTGCCAAAAAAAAAAATAAATAAATAAATAAAAAATAAAAATTATCTAAACATAATTATAATATAATATAAAATAAATATACTTTTTTGTATAACAAAATTAAGTATTTTGATTGGTTTTAAATAGAAGAAGAATATAATATCATAATAAATAGATATTAGATAATATCTGTTATGACCTTTATTAATTTATTTAATTTTTTACTGATACTTGAATTTTTTACTAATACTTTACTAATGCATAGTTAAACATTCTTTATATTATTAAACATAAAACAAGTCCGATAACTATTCTATCAATAACTCGAGTTATTGATGGATCTGTGAATAATATACGTCGATCCCTGAATAAAGGAATCGACCATCGACGCACAACATATATACCCAAATATAAGTTCGAAGATAATGAAATATAATATTTAATTAGATGTATAGCTCTTAATATATATATCGTATTTAATTAAAAAAAAAAACAACTATTTAAAATATTATGTAACTACATATCGCACACCCCAATACTACGTATATAATTTGCATTATAATTAAAACGCACAGATATACATATTGGCAAAACTAAAAAATCTCCCAAATCCCAAATATAATAAAATCCCAATAGTTTTGCCAGCAAGTATACGCATAGGTGCTGAACCTAAACTTCTTCTATCTTAAACTGGTAAAACTAAACCTAACTTTAATTTTGCTAGTAAAAATTAATAATAAATCTACCAAGCTATATGATGCTAAAACTCTGAGTGCATTTATAATCTTTGTTTATATTTATTCCTTATATTTAAGTAACTTAATTTTTCTCAAATGATTATATTATAAATAATTTTAAATCTTGATATACGAGTTTCAATGTAAGATCTATTTATATTAAGCCTCGTTGCTTCATTTTTACACATAAATTCGACATATAAATTTCTGCAAACGAAGAAAGGTAATACTACAATAAAAAAGAATGTGAATAACTGTGATATTTTTATTATATAAAAAAAAAACAGATGTAAAATTAATACTCACTTCATGTTCTGAATTATGTGGTATAATGAAATTGTGTGCCAACTCATGACAAACCGTCATAAACCAATACATTATGGTATCAATCGATGGCTTGATAGATTCAATATCTTCATGTAGTCCAAGATAGAATCGAAAGTTGAAAAATAAGGCCTTACCACGATTAAATGCAATTGAATTCGAAGTAGTATCGTAAAATACGTGAATTGTTTTTGGTGGAATTTCAAAAATTTCACCAAGATCATTGAGAATTCCGATAAATCTGGTTAACGCCGTTAATTTAGAGTCAAATATTTTCGAGTGGTCTAAAGTTTTCTCGATATAAAGCTCAACTCCATTCTTAGTGCCCACAAAATCGAGCGAGTGCCCTATTTTTATCAGCAAAATTAATTTTGTTTATCCCGAATGCGTATTTAAAATATACAAAAAAAAAAATAAAATAACATACCTGGTAAAATATCACAATAACTGTTTCGACTCTCCGTAACAGTATTAATTTTTTCCTGACTATTCACTGCAGCTCCCGAATTAGGACGGCAAGACTTGATAGCGTCTTTTAGCGCATTACGAAGATTCTCGGTAGTTTGAAGTGTAACCTTGGTAGGTACTGTAGGTGGTGGTGGTGTAGGTTGTATTTGTTGTGGTTGTTTCTGAGCTGATATTGGTTTCGGTGACTCGGTACTCGTTGACATAGGAAGAAAATCAGACAAGGACTTTAAAATACCTCCGCCCCAGTTAGATTTTTTGGGTCCCAGTGTATCGTCTCCATGATTAGAAATTCCATCTTCATTATTAGAAATTCCGTTAGGTTGCATTTTAGGTTCAATTTTTGGGTATTTAGCCTCCATCAATTTATTAGCAACATTCTGTAAGTGATCTGTCTTTTCTTGAGCTAAACATCGGCGAATATAATTTGGATCACAATCTGGAAACATTTCCTGTAAATGAACAACATAATTTTCGATTTCTGGCGCAAGTTTTACGGAAGGAACATTCAGATTTGGATTAGGGCTAGATTGAGTTAAAGTTTGTGCTTTAATTTCCGGAGTTCTAGGAACTTTAGTAGAATCGTATTTCTCGGCAACGCGTTTAGGTTGTTTATAACTTAACATAATACGGTCAACTGGATATCCTTTACGTTTTAAACTATCTAAAGGTGTGATCAACAACATTGACAAATGTGAGATGTCCTTCCATTTACATTTCTTAAAAATGTTTTGTCCTAGATTCGATGCAATATCGAGATGATCTGCATCACCAGGGGTGACATATAAAGTCCATGAAGTTCGCGAATCTTTAATAATGTGTGAATATATCGGTTCAACTTTAATTTGATGATCGGTTATAAGTTCATAGGTAGCTTCGATCTGATCAATCTCTGCTACTTTTAACTTTTGAACCCAATCAACCGATTGCTTAACTTCATTTCGGGGAATATCATGGTAAAATAGTTGTGCTCTTTCCCTGATTGTTCTTTGCAATCTCGCAGAATTCATAGAAGGCTTTGGATTGCCTTTTATTTGTACATTAACCCTAACGCTAGCATACAACGAACGACTTCCTAGTAACTTTATTAAAAAAAATAACAATAATAAATATTAAGTGAAAAAAAATTTTTTAAAAATAATAAAAAGAATGTTTGAAATCATACCTTGTAAAAATTCTCCAAAATCTCTTCCATAGGTGCTGTCAACGGATTAAAAACTTGCTGAAAATTTGTATCATCATTTATAAAAATATTTTGTGCAGAATCCAAAACATAATGATCAATATATTGCTCATTATAATCAAAATTTTCTTTATCCACTGTGATTTTTTTCTTTTTTACGCCAATTAATAGCGGTGTGCGACTCATATCAGTAATTAACGCTCGATTTTTAGCAACAGCACTAGAATTAGCAATATTACGAAGGACTGAGAGATATTTATCCACATTATCACCAATAGAATTCCAAAATTCATGCGAAGATTTCACGAGGAATTCTGCAAATTCTATCTGAGATGGTTCAGATTTAACACCACAGCTAAGCAAAAATTTATTTGCCTTTTCTCCAAAATCTACATATGAAAAGAATTCACCATAGCTGTAAATTAATGTAATTTAATTATTAATAAAAAGAAAAAAAAAAATCATAACAAGATTAAGCAAATAAAAATTTTTCGAATTGATAAATGGAACTTACGCATCATCAGTGCCTTTGAAAAAGCAGCTTCTTGGTGTGACATATGTTACCGAATTAGTTTGAACATTATTGATCGGAATAAACTTAAGATCTTTAAGCATGGACCAATCTGTTTTAATAAAATCACCTAGACGAGTTGCCAAGTAACCAAAAATCTCTATAGCCTTTTGTTCATTTTCAGGTGGATTTTGAGTTAATCTATTCAAGAGTTGTTCACGACTTGGATGTTGCCGGATGCCCAATTCATCAGCACGAAATCGTAAATCTTGGTGTAATACATTAAATTTCATTATTGTACATTCAGGATTGGAGAAACAACCCATTGGTGTCTCATAGATTTTAGGGTCAGTACATGGCAAAAACGCCACTTTTATTTCTCCAGCTTTATACTCTGAGGAATATTTCTCTTTAAAATTATCTATGAAATATTTTAGAGCTTTGTTTCTTATTGCCGCATCTGAAGTAGAAGCAGCAAGTTGAAGAATGACGTTAAGTGGTGGATATTCTCGCAGACCCAATGAAAAAAGAAATTTCGCTAGAAATAACATTAAAATTAATTAACAATCATTTAAAAGTATTCAAATATACTGTAATATTAAAAAAATAAACTACCTTCTTCACTGGTTTTCCGCCATTTACTTTTACCACTCCATTCAATTAAAGGCAACCCAAATTCTCGCATTTCGGCTAATGGTGCATATAAATCACTTGCTAAGTATCTAAGAATTCTCGGTTTAGTCTTGGTCTCATCATTTGCTGATGAAGATCCTGGATTCGCAGTTTGTTCTTTTGGCCAAATCGGGGTAACCCTCAATCTTTTCAATTCAATTTCTTTGAGGCTACTAAATACCGAAGCAAGATATTTAATAAGTTGCATATGATCCCAATTACCTTGACTAACTAAACGATCAAAAATGAGTTGTAATTCGACATACTATTTGTAAAATTTGATAAGTTCATTAGTTGAATAAATTAAAAATAAAAATTAATTTAACTTTGAAAAAGACAAACTTTACATTCCGAACTCCCAATTTAAGTAATAATTTATCTACGGCTTTAACATTCTGGAAGTGAATAATTGGTAGATCCGGGAAAAGATCTACATTTTGAAAATACGCTTCATCTGGTATTTTCATTCCGTGTTTTGTTGGGATACATTTTTTTGCAACAAGAAACTTTCTGATTATAGCTTGGTCATTTGAAGAACATTTCTGAAAACTTCTCGCAATAACCGCAAGAACTTTTTCAGCAAAGTTTGGGTTGTTTTCCAGCTGAGGGTTGGATGTGATGTATTGTGTCCAAACAACAATTGAAAGCTCTTTCCATCCACTAAAAATAAAATATACAATTAATGATTATGTATAAAGATACTAATATAAAATATATCTATATTTACCTAAACCACTTGTCAAAATCATTTTTTTGAAAATTTTTGCTTATTGAATAAGGTAATACATTAGGCGGAACTTCGAAATCTGGTGGAATCACAGTAGGATTCAGGTAAAACTGAATTTTATTTAATGGTATCACATTGTCGTTACTACAGACTACCGCAAGCTTTAATAACTGTTGAGCATCTAATTCTGAAACTTGTTGATTTTCTTTTGTCCGATAATTTATCCACCATTTCATTAATGCTACAGTGTCCTCTTCTGAAAGAGTGCGATTTTGTAATTCATTAAATACATCGTAGAGCGAAATGTCTTTAATAGCATTCATCGGATTTCTAGCCTTTTTAATAAATACATCACATTGTTCCATAATAATTTTGGGAAGTATAGGAATAGTTTTTATGAAAGCCGCCATTTCAGTGTTAGGCATTCGAACTGAGTTCATTGGCATAACTCCAAGAGTTGACATAATAGGCAGAGATTGGGAAGTGCAATTAAAAAATTGAAGCTCAATTATTCGACCAATAAGCGGATTAGGAGTACTAGGTTTGAATGTAAAGTGTGAAAGAGCATGTGCAGACCGTTTTTCAAGCCATTCACGCGCAGTATCATCTAAATTGGTATTTGAACCAATAATCTCTTTGTAAACCTTTGAGATTTGGTTCATTTCATCTTCGTACAAGATTCGGGACAAGATTCCGGCAAGACTTAACATTTCATTGTTATAAACAGCAAGAGTTTTATCAATTAGATCAATAGATTCACGCTCAACCTATTGAGAAAGGGGTTTCATTATTATAAATTAAGTTATTTTTAATACAATGAATTTATATTAAAGTGAATTCTTACTGTTGGAATTAAACGAGCCGCCAGGTGAGAACTACAACCAGTTGTCTGATGTGTAGGAAACCCAATAAAAATTCGACCTTGTTCGGGAAATGGTAACAAATTTTTAAATACCCCAGATATTTTTTTATTTTTATCTTCAGAAAAATATTGCTCGTCAAATCCAGTAAATATCATCTGAATAATAGTTTGACTCGGTGGTTTCTTTTTTGTTGTACGCTCCATATCTGATGAAAATGCTTTAGTTACTCGTACATCTAAATGACCACTAGCAACTCTAAGAAATATTGATGTTTCTTCTATTGGATAGTCATTCAAAGTCATTCTGGTTAGAGAAAATTTTGAAGGAATAATTGTTCTTTCTACATCCAATTGCACTTTTCGTACATCAACAGATTTTAAATTAAACATTTTTCCAGGTGATGTCGTATTTAAACCAGAGAATATAGTCATAGTCCTCGGATCGGTCATTTTTTTTGAGATGCGTATAATTCTTTTATCATTGAAATACACGGATACTTCGCTAAGATTTCCTGTGAAACCCTATAAATAATGCATAATGATTTATGTTAGTTATAAAACATATATAGATGAAGTATACTAACAAGTTTCAATATTTTTAATTGTAGAAATATAAGAAATATCTAACCAATGATGTCACCAAAAATCGA